ACTCGAGGAAGTCAAAGCTCCTGCAGTGGCGCTTGTTGAAAGGCTGCGGCTCGTGGGGCAGGGACGAGGACATGGAGGCGTCACATCGTGCCAGGGGCTGGCAGACGATCGAATCCCCGGGGGCTGCGGTGGCCACCTTTATGTCTTGGTACACCGTAGACACCAGGATGTCAGGTGGGTCCGTTCGTGTCATCTTAAAAGTGACTCTTCTCCTGCCAGCTCCCCTTCAGACGGCCTCAGAGGAAGGCAGCCGGCCCTGCAAGAGAACAGATGAGGTGCCTAAATCCTGGCGGGGACCTTGGAGAGCCATGACGGCACTGGGTAAATCCCCACAGCTCCCGGCTTGGGCGGGGTTTCAGCCACCTCTTAGGAAATGGGGGTTCGGGGGCATCCCAGCCTCCACTGCTGCTGTTAATAGTCAGGTCCCAGCTGGGGGAAGAAGATGGAAAAAGGCTCCAAATACGGGGTGCAAAGACAGGAGTGGATGGCAGGGCACCTGTAGGTGCACCGGGCGCCGCGGGGCAGCCAGGGAGGGGTGCCAGCTCACCGCGGGGAGAGGAGGCCACCGACCGCCATGGCCCTGTTCCTGGGGTGCAGGACATGGGGACCCTCTTGCAGCATCACAGGAAATGGCAGCTCTGAATGGGGCTGGAGAGACTCAACACCAGGGTAGCGGAACAAGACCACGTAGCGGAAGGGGAATGCGTGCCTGGCCCCCCAGCGTGAGCATCCGAGTGGCTGCAGGGTCTCCTGGGACCATGCGCGCCCACGTCCCAGCACACGCTGCACCCAGTGCCAGTGTCGCAGGCAGCGCAGGCAAGAGCATCACCCAGGGATGGGTACCACAAGCACCCACCGTGGTGGCTGGGAAGCCCATGCAGCTCTGGGGCTCCAGGGGGGCAGGAGCCATACCCCCTCCCCATGGTGGCTGCACCCACCGTGTCCCACAAACACCTCTGTGGGGTGGCAACAGTCCCGGCTGCTTGCAGCCACATCGCTCCCTGGGTCTCCTCCAGACTGGCACGAGCAGCACCAGGAGCTGGCAGAGGGGTGCTATGGCCAGTGCCCCAACCCCAGGTGACAGCAGCGGCTCCTCCATTGCTTCCTGCGGCTCCGAGCAGACCAGACCCAGGGTCCCTCTGCCATAACCCCGTGCCGGAGGGGCTGTGCTGGCTCAGCACCCGCCGCCTCTGTCCTCTCCCGCCTGGGCCGCAGGCTGGAGAGCAAGCGGGATGGTGGCTGTGGCTTCCATGGGACATGGGGTCTGGCACCCACTGTGCACCAGTGCTGTGCATCCCACCTGCCCTGGGATGCTGCTGCGCAGGTGATCAGGGATGGCAGAGCCCCCAGCCGCACGGCTCCCCGGCCACACACGTGACACATCTGTGTGACAAGGAGGGGACATCAGCACGAGCCCCCCCAGAGCGACCGGGGGAGCAGACAAGGCAGTTTGCCAGCAGGACCTGGTGGGTTGTGGCACTGATCTTCACTGACAGCCCATCAAGAGCTGGCTGCAGGCCGCCATCGGCATCGAGTGGATGTACAACCGGCTCTGCCCACGGCAGGGATACCTGGCCGGCTTTAACACTCATCACATCCTATGAGGACTTGCGTTTTGGCCACCTGGCCAAGGGGCCCGGGAGCGCAGGTGGGTGCCGGCTGCTCCATGAAACACTAAAGGTGCGCAGCAAAGGCCAGCAAAAGGCATTTGGCTTTAAACAGCAGCAGAGGACCACAGGGAATGTGTTGCTGGGAGAAAAGGAACAGACTTTATTTGGCAAGAAGCAGTATCGACTATGCAGAGATGGGGGGGGGGGGCCTGGGGTTCCCCCCCATTCACCTGGCCAAGGGGCCCGGGAGCGCAGGTGGGTGCCGGCTGCTCCATGAAACACTAAAGGTGCGCAGCAAAGGCCAGCAAAAGGCATTTGGCTTTAAACAGCAGCAGAGGACCACAGGGAATGTGTTGCTGGGAGAAAAGGAACAGACTTTATTTGGCAAGAAGCAGTATCGACTATGCAGAGATGGGGGGGGGGGCCTTGGGTTCCCCCTCATTACCCGGATAAAGCCCTGTCTCGCCCTGAAGCTGGGGGGCATGGATGCCGGAGCTGGGGTGAAGCCAGAAGGTTGGGGGATGTCTGTCCCCAGGGGGGCTGTGGAGCCCAGTGGCTGGGGAGAGCTTGATGCCAGGAGGAAAGGGGGATCCCGGTGCCTCCGTGGCTGGGGGGGCAGGTTTGCACCCATAGTGGTGGCTCAGTATAAGCCCCGCTGCATTACAACGCTTGGGAGCCGGGCCGCATCCAGGAGGGCAGCACCCCATGCCACAGCGATGCCGACAGTGGCGTTAGGAAGCCCATCCCTGTGGCGTCAGGGCAGCTGGCGGGCAGGGAACTGCGGCCCAGGGTCTTACCTGGTCCGGCAACAGCAGGGACGGGATGGGTGGGCTGAGCTGGCCGAGAGCCCCACCACGGCTCCATCCCAGCACTGCAAAATAAAAGAGGCACATGAGGGTCCTGGGAAACCCCCGGCTGTGGCAGGGGGGCGGCTGCTGGGACCATGGGGCACCTCGGGGGGGACATTGAGCGCCCTGAGAGACCCTCTGCAGCTGCAGCCCTGCTGAGCCAAACTGAACTGTAGCCCAGCGAGGCTACTGTGTGCATCCCTGTGCCCTGGGGACGTGGGCACCACATCCCATGGGCACTGGCACGTCCCTCCACCCACCCTGGCAGCACCCCGCCACCTGCAGAGCCATGTGAGGCCGTGGTGGCGGGGGAACCTGGGGACAGCGAGGTGCTGGCATCCCCAGCACTGCCCGGGGTTGCCATGGTTTCTCCGAATTATTCCTCCTCTGCGAGGACAGTGTGGGTGTGTGGGGAAGCTGCCGGGGCGGCGGCTCTGCGGGGGGCCAGGGGGAGCCAGGACTTTGCGGCACCCCAGGGAGGGCAGAGCGCCCACAAAGCCGTGGGCATCCTCTGCCCATCGGGGGGGCAGAGCTGGGACAGCCCCACCAACACTGCTGGTACTGCTGTGCTCCCCGTGTCCCCGACACTGAGTCCCCTCTGCAGGGAGAGGATTTTGCATCCCCTCTGCTCTCCTCCCCCCTGGCTGGTGGGCACCAGGTGCCCTGCTTCACCCCCAGCCCTGCCCGCTCTCGGTGGGCACCGATCTCCCTGCCCAGGGTCTCCAGGCTGTGTCACCCTGGGGATGCTGACAGTGGCTGCCAGTGCTTTCAGGGCTGCTGATGCCCACCGAGCTCCCTGCACGGGAGCCACCCCCCGGGGTCACACGGCCCCTGGGGACACAGCCAGCCCCATGCCCGCATCCTCACCCCAGGGAAGACCCAGGTGGTTTGTCACAGAGCCCCCTGTGCCCCCGTTGTTGAGCAGGACACACGGACACCTCTGCCCAGCCTGTCCCCGGCACAGCAGCTCCCCTCCAGCATACCAGCGGTGTTGGGACCCCCCCCCACAGGACCACCCCATGGCCCATGGCCAGCCCACAGGACCACCCCATGGCTCAGCCTGGCACCGCTGCAGAGCCCGGTGCCACCCACGCGGCTCTGCCCCACTCAGCACCCAGCCCTGCACCTGCCGCTGCCCGTGGGGCCCTGCCTGCAGCCGGGGGCTGCCCTCGCTCCCAGCCCGGCACCCCATGCCGCCCGGCACGCTGCTCCCGCCATGCCGGAGCACCCAGCCTCTGGCAGCTCCAGCCCATGGGAGCAGCATGAGAGTGCTGGGGGCCGGGAGCTACCCCCGTCTGCCAGAGGGGCCTGCGGGAGGCTGCCAGGAACTGTGTCCAGTCCGCTGCCTGCATGTGCAGTCTGTGCAGTGTGGCTGTGCAGTGCCCTGCCAGTGCACACTGTACTGCCCGGGCACTGCCGCACCCTGCCTGTGCGCTGCCCACCCACTGCCCGCCCCATGCCCACAGCGAGGGTGCTGCCTGCCTGCTCTGCACTGAGTGCTCTGCCAGGACACTGCCCACAGCCTGCCCCCACGCTGCCTGCACACACTGCACCAAGCACACTGCCAGGGCGCTGCCCACACGCTGCCCACACTGCACTGAGCAGTACCAGGGTGCTGCCCCTCAGCCTGCCCCCACTGCCTGCACGCTGCCCTCACACTGCCTGTGCACTGCCCTCATATCGCCTGCACGCTGCACCGAGCACGCTGCCGGGGCACTGCCCCACGCACTGGCAGCCTGCTGTCCCCACGCTGCCTGTGCATTGCCCCAAGCTGCCTGCACACACCGCCCTGCCAGTGTGCTGCCCCACAGCCTGCCCATGCTGCACGGAGCACTGCCAAGGCACCGCCAGCTTGCTGCCTGCCCCATGCCCACAGCAAGGGTGCTGCCTGCACACGCTGCACTGAGCACACTGCCAGTGCACTGCCCCATGCATGCTGCCCGCACGCTGCCTGGGCATTGCTGCACACCTTGCCCCGCACGCTGCCTGCACACATCCCACTGAGCAGCCAGGCAGTGTGCTGCCTGCAGGCATGCTGCCTGGGCGCACTGCATCGGGTACGCTGCTAGCACACTGCCTACACATGCAGTGCACCCGAGCACACTGCCAGCACGCGCTGCGCTGAGCTCACTGCCTCTGCGCGCAGCCCCACTGCTCCGAGTGTGCTGGCCGTGCCTGCATCTGGAAACACGGCCAGGGCAGCATCTTGCGTGCACTGCGACCACCGTGCTCATGCAGACGACGCTGGAGGTACTGCCGGCGCACTGCCGCGGGTGCAGTGCCTGCGCACGCTGCGCCGTGGGCACTGCCAGCCCACAGCCCCGCTGCGCACAGGCCTGTGCGCTCTGTGTGCGCGCCGGGAGGGCGCTGACGCCCGACACTGCCTGTGCACACGCTGCCCGGGCACTGCCCGCACAGGGAGCTGGCACACGGCACAGCCCGCAGTGAGGGAACCCACTGCCCCCCGGCCCCTGCCCTGTGTATGTGGCAAATAGACACTTCCCCCTCTGTGCCACCCCCAGGGCACCCCCCAACACACACAGTGCCCTGTGCCCCTACAGCATTGCTCCTCCACACACCCCCTGTGCCCCCCCTGCCCTGACCCACGAAGCCCTGATCCACGCAGCCCTGTGCCCCTGCCCATGCCTCCCAGCCTGTGTGTCCCCGGCACCCCCCACATCCCCCCCAG